GCAAAACAAATACAACCAAATCCTAAGGATCAATAGCCCAAATAGTTCTCTATCACCCTGAGGAAAATAGGAGTCACCATTCCAATGCCCTATAGGAAGGCTCACTGCTGTTAAGCATGCCTACTTACTATGTGACTCACTTCCCCATTTGTTCCTGAATTAACATTACCTGAGCAACTGTTCCTGAATTAATCAATGTTACCTGAGCAATTAATCTTATTAGTTAACCATAGTTCTGTCCTACCTTATGCCCACCTGGCGAGTTCCCATCCCCCCCCTTGGAAACCATCTAACCTCATAATTTGACTCTATAAAAGCCCCTATGTATGTGATCTCTTGTTCCACTCCTGATCCCAGTGTTTGAAGCTTTAGTATTGTACTAAGAAGAATCAAAACTACTCTTCCTCCTTTCTCTGTTATTACCTACTGTTTGCATAGGCACTGCAATCTATAAAAATATTCTCTTACATATTAGCTCATCCAGTCATACAATCTGTTCACCAACCACTGATGAAGTATCACTTTCATTTAATAGACGAGAACACTGAGCTTCAAACAGCTTGCACATGAGTCTAGATAGATGTGAGAAACCACGTAGCACAGAGTTCAAGAATTTAACCAGGTCTCCTGATTCAAAGTTCTGAGAGGTCTCATTGCAGTGGCTTTTTTTTTCAACTACATATTCTTTAGGGCCTGAAGTACCCTAGTGCTGTATAACACTGAATTCATTTGTTTCATCTAAATGGACTGATTTTGCCCAAATACTATACACTGCCATATTCATAGGCCTCATGAAACATTCCAGCTCATAAAAGCAACTTGTGGCTTTGCCTTTGGAGTAACAGTTATTAGCAAGTAATCTTAAATAATAAAGTCTGTAATTAAACTACAAAGGGAAAACACTTCCTCTTCCATCAGCACAGATTTTCCATGGTGCTGCTGCTGCCAGCAGCTCTGCTAATGTTTTCATTAATAATGACAATTTGTTGTTCTACAAACAACCATAAGTGAGAGACAGGGAGCAAAAGAGGAAGGGAGAAATATCAAAACAATCTGTCTCTATGTTCTCAAGTAATTTTTTTCTTCCTTACTTTTTTTTTGTTTTTTTGGAAAGTGAAGGAAACTGCAAAATTGTTTTCTAATTCTACCTTAGAAAAACTCAAAATTGTAAAGGATTTCTCCAGACTCCCTGATATGTTCATGTTCTTGAGGACCACTTGATTAAAATGCAGGTATTTCCCAACTCTTTTCCTTTAGAACCCTGAAACACTAGAACACTTCTATGGAACTGACTCATGATACAGCCAACACCTACCATAGCCAAACCCCAAGAGTGATCTAGTTTGTCTCTGAAATAGCATGCGAGTAATAAAATCACTTATCACTATGCTTCTGTGGCTTATATGGTTGTTACACAGCAGTGGCAATTATAACCCATTTCCCAGCTGGCATTCTGGAGGTGAGTGTAGTAGCTGGGAGCTGAATCACTATGGTTTATGAGAGGTATTTTAGCAAGGATGGATTACAATAGGACTCTTCCATGTAGCCAGCCCATTCAGATTGACCACATTTCTGTATTCAACTTCTGCTCCATCAGGTGATTGAGAAATAGGCTTTCTTTCATAGTTTTATTCTAATCTAAAACTTTTGTTCCTTTTCTGAAGAAATGAAACAAAGAAACGCACAGAAATCAGAAGTAACTGTCATTTATGTTGCTTGATATTGTGAACTCAAGAAAGCAACTTCTATGTACCTTCACTCTTTCCTATTGGCCTATATTTCCAAAAACTTACCTGTTGCTCTGAGGGAGAGTACTGTTCTCAAAAGATAGTAGCAAATCAGATTAGAGTATCAGTATGACCCCTCCTAAAGATGATGCATCAGATTATCAATCTTTCAGCACTCTTTGTAATCAAGAATGTAGCCAGAATTAGAAGGAATCTTAGAAATCAACCAATCTGGCCTTTCATTTATGTAGAAGAAATATAATCCCAGGAGAATCAAGTGGCTTTGTCCAAGACATAATGGCCTAAGATGGGACTCACTGTCAAGATTCCAGGCCTCAGGCTCAATGCCACTTTCACCATGTTGCTGGGTCTGTCCTTGAGCAACTTCCAACCTCTCATAGAAGCAGGATCTGTCAGCCTCAAATGGCCTTGCAAGGTACAACGAAACACATGTGGAACTTTGCCTCTCCTGCACAGTGATTTACTCAGGCAAACTCCAGTCTAACAACTGAAAAAACTTTAGTATTAAAGCATTTCAAAATATCACAGGAGGGATATCAATAATATAATTCAATGGACTTACTTGAAACCCCCTGTCCCCATTGAAAGATTCTTACCCTAGTATACATTACTATACAGTTATGGCGGTGGTCTAACATGGTGGAAGGCCAAAGTGGGAATGCTTACCACTTCCTGCTTCTTCTTCAGCTCTAATTGCAGCTCCTTTTCCTGTTTGCTCACAAAAAAAATTCCAATGGGTTCCTCACATGTCATCAATATCCGCCCCATGCGCCACTTCAATCGGAGGTCATACAACCGTCTGCCTCTCTATATCTGGTTGAAGGAGACAGCCCAACTGCCATGGGTCATTTGCTCCTTTCTAGGTCCTCAATAAACCTGTTCATTTTGTACTTCTTGCTTCTCTATTGCTCCAGAATACTCTAACACCTATCATTCTCCCTTGTAATTCTCATGCATAGCTGCCTAGATTCCCTCCTTCCTCTTTCCAGATGTTCCCAAGCTCTCCCCGAGGCCCAGCCCACAGCATTACCTCCTTTCCCTTCTCATTTTCTCTGTGGATCTGCCCCTTGCCTTGTGACTCAGTGCTCTCCAGCGAAGATGGCCTCTTGATTTCTGCTCTTGTTGGGGAAAATTAGTTCTTTCAACTGGTATGTTCCATGACTGCACCCCCTCCCTTTTTTTCCTTTCCTGTACCAGCTGCACCTGGTGTGATAACATCAAAAGCCTTCACTACTTCCTGTTCTCACCCTCAGCATCTGGTCTGCCAGAGGCCACCTAGATACGCAAAGGTGTAATCCTTTCACCTTTGAATAACTGTCTTTGTTTTGCCTCTGTACCTTAGCTTGCCCTTTCCATCACAAGCCCTATATAACAGCTCTCTTAACCAGGTTGGAGCTCAGACTTTGGGGTGCTGAATTCCTCTGGGCCCACCAGCGTAGTAACTTCTGACTTCCTCCACTTCTCTGGGTGCCGCTCCATTCTTTCACATCCGATGAACTAAAATTGCTGTAACACTCTTATCTTGCGTGAAAGAGGCTGGAGTGAACAAAATACAATTCTCCTGGGGATGGGAGTGGGAGAATCTGCGCACACATCTGTGTGTGAGACCACAGAGGAAGGTCCTTTATCTTGATCATGTGCTATACTAGTCACACAGAAGAGTGCCTGGCAGTGTGTTGCATTTATTGAATACATAAATATTTTCCAAACAGGAAATGTCACGCATGTAATAACCCCTCTGAACCTAATGGGCCACAGGAGGTAAAAAGAACACAGGGTGTTGATTTCTAACACCTGCCATGCAGACACCATCTTAGCAAAGTGGCTAGTCTCAGTCAGGGTCTTGATGATTCACAGTAATGTAAAAGGAGCAAACCACCATACTTACCCTAGCATGAGATTCTCCTGGTCAATGGAAGCAGATGATGGGCAAACCATGAGTTACAGTGCATATGAGAAAAAATGAACAATGTGCCCCTCTTTGTGATCTGAAGTATAAAAATGAGTTTTCATCATTTGAAGCTCTAACGATCTAATGAGCACAGTGATTAAAGAAATTCTTTCAGGTACAAGCTACAATTCCTGGGAAATGATGCTCCTGCAATAATGATTACCTCAACTCTGCCTGAACAGCATCCTTATTTTCTCATACAAAAAAATAAGACAGTATCTCCACAGATCTAACCCTGCTGTGTATTTGAGTGGTGGCTGACAAGAAGCGTTCTCGAAGCTTCAGTATACAATATTCTTTTCTCTGGATGTCAGGAATCTTTGCAGGTGAGGAATGGATGTGTAGATAGATAAAATGGATAAAATGACAAATTTTTAAAAGTTTAAAAAGAAAGAAGCAAGAGAGGAGAGAAGGCTTTGTGACTTAGGATTTCTCAAAGCAAAAATCAAAGTGTTCCAATTAAAACGAAATAAATCCAACTGCAGTAAAGGTCTTCTGTTCTTTACCAACAACAAAACAGGGAGTAAGAGAGGGAATTAGTGCTCTGAAAAGTAATGTGACATCCTAGAGATGAGACGTTGTTATTGTGGATTCAGCCAGTCAACTCTGAAAGTGAACGTGGCTCCTCAGGAGGCTGCACTGTGAGAGGCCCTGCAGGTTCACCTGCTGCAGATTTGCCTGCTCCCTGCTGCTTCCTGGATTCCTGTGGAGGATGGCCCAGATGGAAGACACACCCTTGTGGATGTGGAGATGTGGAGAAATGTCCTCCCGAGGGCTTTGTGGGTCTCACAGAAGGCGAGACTGTGAAGGCTGAGGTTTCCAGAAAAGGTCCAGGAAAACAGGCTGTAATTAATGTGGGCATCGGAAGCATGGAATCCAGACACTACTTCTGGGACCTATGATAATGGGTGCACCCATTCTTCTGTCTGCCCTGGTTTCTTCATCTCTAGGATGGGTGTCATGACAGTACCTATATCACAGGGGTTTGCTAAGGAGCAAACTGCTTAAGGCATAGAAATCACTGAGACGTACCTGCACACAGAAAGTACTTACTGCTTTGGAGTAGGCGAAAATCAGGTTAGGCCCACGGGGTCCCTATGAGGAGATCCCTGTGAATGATGGAACTCTTGGGTTAAGAATATTGGGTCACAATTATAATTTATAATAATTGTGCACATTTATAAAATAGCAACCTTAGAGGTATTTCATTCTCTTCCTCTACCCACTCCAAGTTAGTGTCTTTTCTTTCAAGCCATCAGGGAGAACATCTCAGAGATCACAAAAGCAATTACCAGTGCATCTTTATTTTCAACTGCAGATTTATTTCCATATAACAATCTTCTTTTGAGAATTACAGAATTGCCATGGATGCCACATACCACTCAGACTCAGCAGAAAGCCCACAAGAAGAAGAGCAGGGATGGATGGGCCAAGCTGTCCCTGCCGCCTGGTGGCAAGGGAAGAACAGAACAGTTCTAACAGATCACTGAGTCCATGGGGTGCACAGGAAAACCCAGGGTCAAGGGGAAAAGGACACAGCTGCTAACTGGGGGTTTCAGAGAGACAGGACCATGCCTGCCATTGGAAAGGCCTTTAGGGTCCCTCGCCTCGCCCGAAAACACCAAGCTATAGTGAGAAAGTTTGCCCACTGGGTCCCAAGCAGCAAAGCACAGATACAATTCTAACAGCAAGAGGGCGTACACATGGCAAGGGCGAACCACAAAGCATGTGAAGATCAGGGGCTGATTTTCAGACCAAGGCACAAAGCCAGCTCAGACTTCTGAATTTTCCCGTCCTTGTTCACATCGCAGTGACGCAGGAGGATCTCTCGGAACTTGTCAAGGTCCACTCCACTGATGCTGGGCTGAGGACAACAACAGGACCCTGTCAGCAGTGGCAGCCCCACCCTTTACTGCCCCCTAAATTTAAAGCGAACCATGCCCACGGTGGGGGCAGGGGAGGGGGACCCATTTTACCTTCCCTTCTCACCCAGGGTTGCTAAGGGCAACTTTGTTCTAACAGCTCCATTTCTTGGCTTGCTCCTTCAGATAAAAAAAGACTTCTACCTCTATTTCCATATCACTTCCCTGTAGTTCGCACAGACTGCCTGTCTTATTAGCTTTGAAAGAAAGACACTTTGCCTCAAAAGTAGAGAACCATGCTCACAAAGTCTTCCTTGAAAGCAGATGCATTCATTAACTTCCTGCAGAGTGCTTCTTGCCCCCAGTTAAAAGAGCTTCTATAGCATAAATGTCTAACTAAAACAGTTGTTGAGCTAGGAACCTAGGATTTATGCCTAGGGAAACGTCAGGAGTTAGAGTTGTGGTGCCTGTGAGCTACGAAAAGATGCTAAGTCCAAAGGCAGCCAAAATTAGCAATGCCTGAACTAATTGGTTGCCCCTGGGAGCTTTCATTTAATCTTCCTGTAACCCAGGGAAGTACATAATGACACCTCTTTTTGCAGTTTAGGACACAGGCCCAGGGAGAGCTTAAGCAAACTGCTGAGCTGGAGAGTTGGGGCAGCATTTTTTATTCCAAGGTTTCTGACACCAATTAAGGGATCATTCCCACCTGAAGGAAGGCTGGCCTCCTGCAGCTACGGGAAAGAATCTAAACTCTAAAGCAAAATCCAGCCAATCAGTTTGCCAAGGCCCTGATGTCTGGTATGGCTTTATGAGTGGACAGAACACAACTGCCTGCAGGGGTCTATTGTGGGGACTCTGAGATGTGCTCCACACACCCCAACCTGGCTCCCATAGATTCCTCATCTCCAAAGAAACTTATGAAAAATTCTCAGTGACAGGAAAAAATGTTTCACAACTAGTCAGGCACAGGCAGACCTGAGGATTTACATTTGCAACTGGGAAATGACTGACACCAGGTCGGACCCTAATAGCAGGTTTTATCAAGGAAGAAAGGAAGAGAGCAGCAGGAAGTGGGAGCAAACGGCCCAACAGCTCAGGAGAGGGTTCTGGGACAGGGACACACCCAGAAGTCAAAAGATTTGGGTGAAGTGAGTTGAGTTGAGTCCACTCCCTTCCTCTGTGCCAGGCCCCTGGATGACCAGGCTGCAAAGTCAAAATGTAACACATTACCAGTGGGTTCTCCTCAGGCTCGCAAAGGGTAGTATGCCAGGTATCAACACTAGGCAGGCGCAATGTGGCCAGGGAGATGCGGCTGGGGCCTTGAAAACAGCAAGCGGTACTCTGTGACAGCATGTTAGGAGTTCATTTGTTACACAGCAGCAACTTGAGGATGTTTGGTTTGTTGCAGCTTGGGTAATTTGTTGCTACAGCTTTTCTCCAATAAGTGGTACCCACCCCAGGATCCTCTATCTCTCAGAAAAGACTCAGTGGTAGTCATTTACACAGAAGCATGAATCAGTTGCCAGTGTATTAACCTTATTCAAACATTCAAACTCTGAGACTTTTTTTAACCATAAATGAAAAATATTAGGACTTGCTGCCAAAGTAATTACTTCTTTAGAATAAGTAAGAAATATTTTTGTGCAAATGACAGAGGTGAGGGTAGGGTAGGGAGTAAGGATGGAAGAGTATTGGGGACCACAGATTCATAGCGGCTAATTTTACATACTTCCCTAGAGAATAAATGGAGGTTTGGGATTATGGCATCACCCTTTTGAGATTTTCCATTAATTTTCTTGGGGTGGGCCTTCCTCTCCCACAAACTAAGACTAAACTAAAACTACTAAAAGGAAAAAGAATGCTCCAGAGCAAGAGCCTCCGTAGCATGAAACCATCTCCACCCTGTTGAGTCATCCCAGGATTATAACATTGCCTGCAGTGTCATGGACCTTTGAATCTTTCCAGAATCTTCTGCTAGCCCCTCCTATCATTGTACACACCCATTGTATTGTACACACCCAATAATTAGTGGCTGGCTTGGAGTCTCTGGGTCTTTGCCCATCCTGAGGCACTGACCTCCCAGCCTGCCATCATGCATTACTAAATTTGTCTGTTTCTTATTTTATTCTTCGACAGACCCCTCATACAGGCAGCGGGGATCCTGGCCAGGTCCCTGGTAGAAGGGAGATTCCTTTGGTTCTTACATGTTATGTTTTTAATGTTGAGTGACTCACTGTGAAAACTGCTCAAAATTCCATGTGTTACTAAAGACATCCCCAGTCATTCAGCCTTGATCTTAATAGCAATCCCCCAATAAAAGTGCACATGGGGCCCCAATCTAAAGGCTCTGCACCTAATAACTGTAATCCTCAGAGCTGCTACAGCAGGTTGTATCTACTTTTTGGGGGGAGGGGGAAAACAATTCCGCTATGTAATTCAGGCTGGACTTGAGCTCACTTTGTAGTCCAGGCTGATCTCCAACTTTCGACAATTGCCCTGCCTCAGCCTCCTGAGTGCTGAGATTATGGACATGTGCCACCATGCCCAGTTTCTACTTTTAACCTTAACTTATAGTGGAGTAAGCTAAAGAACAGAGAAAGGAATCAACTTTTCGTTGTCACACAGCTGCCCCATGCCAGGACCAGGATACAGATCCCTGTGGGCAGGGCACACTGTATGGTAGCTTCTCATACATAAGTATAACTTTGTTCTCATCCCTCTATTGGACAAGTGTCTTGGTACAACTCAGATAACTGACACATTTCATCAGCCCCACTGAATCCTGGGAATTAGGGACCTTGTCCATGAGTGACCAATGAGTGACCCTGCTCTCTTGTCATCAGATGTCTCCCCTATCCTACACGCCCTGGCTCTCTGCAGATAAGAAAAACCAAGACAATCATCCAAGGCCAGTCTTGTGCCATATTTCTTCTGACTGTCACCTGCCACTGCCATAGAGTGGCAAGAAGGAGCCCTTTACGCCTTTGCTGGTACAGCAGAGGTACCTGCTAAGAACCAGGAAATGTGCAGAAGCGCGGTGCTGCAGGCAATGGGCACTGTCTCCCAGCGAGTTCCAGAAAGACCCTCCCTCTGCAGCCCTGCAGCTATCGCCTCATCGCCCCTGCCAGGCACCCATGGGCGTCATTACATCTTTGCTCTAGGGACTGCACGGCCTCCTCCTTCCACCAGTCTCCTCTGGGGAGCCATCTGTCACCGGAGGGAGCACAGCATGTTAATTACCAGCATCACAGTGAGAAGCACACATGTCTATACCAGCCTGCTGTCTTCCCTGATCAACCAGACTGGGCCAAAACAAAGCCAGGAGCATTATGGGTAGTGAAGGTAGGATGAGCCAAGGTGGAAGAGAGGACCAAAGAGGGACATGGTCCACACTTTCTCTTCCAAAGCTTGCTCAAATCTGGGTGGTGGGAATTTTAATGTGTGAAAACCCCTCCACTTAGTAATAGGCCAAATATAGAGAGGGATTTATGTGCAGTGCTATTTTCAGTTAGACACAGGAATTAGACCCAGTGACTGGCCCTGCATTGTGATGCATTCTCAGGGGATCTGAGGTGGTCACTAAATGTCTGCTACTAGGAAATGTTGCTATAATCTCGGCCACATACAAAATATACATGAGAAGCTGGGCATGGTGTTGCATGCCTGTAATCCTAGCACTCGGGAGGCTAAGGCAGGAGGATTGTTGTGAGTTCAAAATCAGCCTGGGCTACAAAGTGAGCTCAAGACCATCCTGAGACTCTGTCTCAAAAAGTGAATAGATATTCATATATATGAGAGAAAAATCACTTCACAGTGAGTCTGGTAAAGTGTAGAGGTTTCCCTGTTTCTTTCTTTTTCTTTTTCCTCTAAGATGGCAAAAATTTTTATATACACAGGTTCACTTTTTAAAATTTAAAAAGTAAATCAGTTATGGTGACACACACCTGTCATCCCTGCATTCAGGAGGCTGAGGCAGGAGATTGCTACAAGTTGGAGGCCAGCCTGTGCTACATAGTGAGACCTTATCTCAAAAAAAAAAAAAAAATGTAAAAAGCAACATGCATGCTAAGGATTAGCTTTGGGCTCACATACTAGATCAGAGCCTCTAGGGTAGGTATTGTCCCTTTTTGCCAGCCATCAGTAGCAGAGAAAACAGGTGGTGTTTACCAAGGAGAAGACAGAACTTTAGGGAGGCCTGGGGCAGGGGACTCTGATTAGCTCAGTCAAACATCTGGGTCATCTCTGGCTGCATGTTTATTTGGCTTTCAATGTTTGCAGTTCTCCCTGGGAGAGCTTGAATTTCTTGTCTTTGTACTTTTTAATTTCAGTTACAGATTCTTGTATCAGTTGTTACACGGTGCTAAATGGGCCAAAGGTCCTTAAGAAGCTTGTGCAAGCTGAGCTTGGTGGCCTATACCTGTAATCCCAGCACTCTAGGAGACTAAGGCAGGAGAATCACAAGTTTCAGCTTAACCTGGGCAATTTAGCTACTTAGTAAAACCATTTCTCAAAATGAAAACCAAAAAGAAAGGGCTGTGGATGTAGCTTAGTGCAAAGACCGGGAAGTCCAGGACAGCAGTGGGGTGCTCCTGATGCCCCGGGCCATGACAGGAGTCACCAAAGAGCAAGGCTGACCCCTGCTTCTCGTGACTCTTTTTGGTGGTCTAGAATTTTTCTTCTTTAATTTTATTTGAATAATGTCCCATCTGCTATGTTTCTGCTTTGGATTTTAGTTCTATCTTCTCCTGTCAGCCTTCAGAAACTTTTGTCAAACTTAGCAATAACTGAAAGGCAGGATTATTGAAAATCATTAAGTGATGATTTTTAGAGCCAGGGATATAGTTCAGTGGCACAGCGCCTGCCTGGCCAGTGCAAGATCCTGAGTTTGACTCCTAGCACCAAAAAAGAAAAAAAGGTAAAGATTTTTAGAGGGGAATCCAGCAAAATTATGCTGTACTTAGGCACCTCAGCTTTCTTTTTTAAAAGTTATATGGAAATGGCAAAGATCATGATCACTAAAGTTTAAACAAACTATGTTCGCTTACAGACTAATTTATGATTGTCATAATCACTAATATTTACTGAGCTCTTAGTGAAAGCATATTATTATGGTTAATCATTAGTGAAGTAGCTCAATATTAAGGAACATGTGCAGAATTTATCCTAAAATGCTCCTGACATCTTAATGAATGTGGAAATTATGACAATTCCCATTCTCCAGAGGAAGAAACTCATCTAGGGTCACAGTGCCTCTTGGTGGTAAATCCAGAGCTAGAATCCAGAGGGATCAGTCTAAAAACTGGATTCTAAATCTAAATTCTCCTTGGCTTTGTAACTTCTGTTTTCCTTTATTTTCAATATTTTTCTACAATATGCAGCACTACTTTTTAAATAAAAGAAATCAAGTATTTTAAATGAGGACTTCTAAAGTAGTTAAGTTCATCACCATCTGACACAATCATGTCTATATTTTAGGAGTTCTTTTTTGCCTGTCTTCTTCATGTTATTACTTCAGAAAGAGTCCCCACTAGGACAGCAGAAGTGTGCACTGAGCTGCTGGTTCCTTCCTCCCTCTCAAATCTAATCTATTCTCAAGCTGAGAAATAAACTCTGAAGATTACAGCTACTTTGCTTTGTAAAAATTGTTTTAAAAATTTTACTATATGATTATGTCTATGTTATTTCTAATCATCATACAACCTGGGGAAGCAGATATCACTGTGCCCATTTCATGGGCAAGGATTCAAGTTCCAGAGAGGTCGAAGAACATGATCTGGAATTAAAGTTCAGTTCTGTCAACTCCAAAACCTTGTCCTCTATTTTATACTCTCTCACCAGCAAAAATGTCTCCAGTGCATTCTTTTCATGGAAAAGGAAGCAAAGCAAAGGAGAACAGTGGGATGATAAAGGAAAGGAGGATGGATAAGTCCACCATGACAACCCCGTAGAAGCCTCTGTTCCAAATTCTGTGTCTGACAGAGTCCAGCTGGTCAGCCGTCCAGCTGCCTCCCATAGCCTGGCAGACAAGTTCGTCAGGAACAATGACATCTCAGGTTGGGAAGAATTTGTTTAACAAGTTTGAGATAGAATCACCAAAAAGGGATGAAAGAAGGAGGACCTATTAATGACTGATTGCTCACCTGGCTGGGCCTCTGCTCTGGGGCTCAGCTGTGTGTGCAGAACTTGGGGAGGTACAGGAGGCCAGATTCTCTGCCTGGGGTCTACAAGCATCTGAAAGCCTCAGATTCACTCTGAAGCACCTGAAGCCCAGCTCTGTTGGGCAGAGGAAGCCTAAGCAGCTTCCCCAGCCCATTCATTGCATTAAAAACAAATTAACTCCAGCTTAGCAAGTCCTTCTGCCACACATCTTTAATATCCCCACAGATAACTGCTGTTATTACACAAGTCATTCTGGCATTAAACAGACAATAACCAAAATGGGATTTTCATTAGCAATCAGTGCAAAAGGAAACAATACATAGATATCCATCAGTTACTCTGCCTGCGCCAAAGCCTACGGCATCTCCAACAGGAGGATCAACCAAGGTGAGAAAGCAAATCAAAAGCTCGGTTAAGATGGAAATAGCACAAGGTAGGAGTCACAGAAGATGATTCCATCAGTCTGCTTGATCATCAGAAAAGATTTGGTTTGTATCTCTGTAATTCCCTGCAAGTGAATGTTCTGGACATTTATGCAAAAATTGATATCTGAATATTTTTCTGTAGCATGACTATATAGTTACAATCTGGTTTGCAAAAAATTCAGGAACCCAAAAATGGTGCATAATTGCTATTCTAATTGGTTGTTGACTGGGCAACAAACCGCACAAAATTAAATTCATTGTATAAACAGAAGCCCGTGGTAAAGGAGGAGTTGGAAATTATCTGTTTAACCAGATTATGCACCCAGTCCATACAGTTCAGGACAGTCACAGGAGGCACCTTTTTGAAACATTGTCTCCTCAGCATAGAACAGCTATGTTGATGTAACTATAACTTAAAGTGCTTCAGTCCCAACTGTGGCAGAGCCGTAAGTATCCTCTGGGAGGTGTTAAGGAAGCCCCCATTAAAAGAAAATTAGAGCCTCAAATATAAGATTTGTTACGTGAAATCAAATTTAAATTTTTAATTACTCTCATAACCAAATCAGAACAGAAAGGACTTGCTAGCACTGAAAAATGAAACAGTAAAGTGTAAAATGGCACCACAGCATTTTGGTGAACTTAGTAACTTTTCAATGACAATTTTTTAAAAAGTGCTTTTTAAAAGACTGGGTAATGAAAACCCAACAGCCTTAAGCAAGGAAGATCTGTTGGGCTGCACAGAATCTCAAAGGTCTTAAATAAAAAATGAATGAACCCATCAAAACAGGGACCCCAGCCCAAGACAGAAATAATCTACTCAGCCCCAGAAATCACCTGGACCAGCTCCATCATGTCTTTGACAAACCCATCGACTTCTGGGCCTTCAAGGGCTCCAGTTCTGCTCTGAAAGATAAAAAAAGATCCACTCACCAGAATGTCATTTTTAGGCAAATCTACCAAATCAGCGTTCTTTTATAACTGCAAGATGAGTTAGAAAGGACATGCTACAGCGTGACAATTTGAATGCTGTACAAGAATTAAAAGAATTAATTGTAAGTAATTCTATGCGGCCAAATAAGAAACAATGTTATACGAATTTCTTGGCTCTTGAAAACAGCATTAATATGACAAAGGCTGACCCTGCTTCTAATGTCACAATTCCATTACAGTAAATTGTTAACTGTGCATAACATTGATCCTTTGAAAGAGAGATTAATATGTTTAAATTCTTTTCATGACTATGACTTAGTAAGTTATTGGTGACTATTAAATTCAGATTTTAAATCAAGAGAGACTATATTGAAGAAGTATATTAGAATGATCATTTAGTCTGTATATAAGCCCCTTTATTTATTTAGTCTTCTTGAGACAAGGTCTCTTTATGCAGTTGAGGCTGGCTATGAGCTCACTTTGTAGCCCAGGTTGGTCTCCAACTCTCAATGATCCTCCCACCTCAGCCTCCTGAGGGCTGGATTATAGGCGGGAGCCACCATGCCAGGCTCAGCCCTTTACATACTTTGTCTACTTACTTTATAATCCGTTCAAACACAAAAGTCTAAAAAAATTCAACATATGCAAAAATATTACAGTTTCTGTTCTAAATTCATTTATTTTCTTCATATTGAAACTTTAGTATATTATTTTAAAAATTCTGTTCCCATGATTTATGTAACAAACACTTCTTTAGTAATTACTATAGGCCAAGCATTTTTGTAAAATCTTATAAAAATGAATTGCTTAATTCTTAGTACAATTCCTTTGGGTAGCCATTACAGCTATCTTTCCAACTCTAATTTTATAGACAAGAAGAACAAAGCACAGGGTCCCTACAGAGATGGAGAGACCTACCCAGGTTACCTGGTTGATAAGCTCAATAGCTGTTCACACAGCCAGTATACTGGGCTGCCTTCACCAGGTGATATCCTTCTCTATTCAGAACTGGACACAGATTCTTAGCCTGATTAACCTCAGGAAGCCATTTCTTAGAATCTTTTCTAACTTTTTGCTTGGTTTTTCCTTTTTTTTTATCACATTATTCTATCTTGTTCTCAAAAAATGCAATCTCTCTGTTATATTTGATGCTTTAGGATTATTATTGTCTCTACAGAGAAATATTTTTATTGTTGTGCCAAATAAGTATGGCCTTGCCTCCATTTGTTTGAGCTGAATGTTGGGATTTTTTGCTTTTTTTTGAGCATAGTACTATTATAAATGGATTCTAGTCCTATAAGAAGGAGAAACGTTCTCTTAGTTTCAATACAAAGACAGACAAAATTGTAATTGTGTTTTTTTCCTTTTCAAATATAAATGCTTCTTTATTCATTTTCATTTAGTTCTCAGAAATTATCTAGAGAATTTGAGGGTGGCCTGATCTAGCAACATCCACGTGAGATCGCTTTGTTGTGAGTAGGATGAGCCTACCGAGGGGAGAAGCAGGCTGCCTGCGTGATGACAGCCCCAAAAGAGACACACTTACAATATCATAGTGGGCAAAGATCTTCTCAAAGTCCCTCTTCCTTTCTTCAGTAGAACTGGCCTGTGTGGAGAGAACACATTCTGTCAGTCAGCACTGTACAGTTCTTCCAAGGGCTTGGGCAAATTTTGTTTTGTTTTGTTTTTTGGTACCAGGAGTGTAACTCAGGACCTTGCACTTGCTAGGCAGGTGCTTGTGCTACTGAGCTATATCCCCAGCCCTTGGGCAACTTTTATAAACTGAGTCAATGACCCTTGAGACCCCAGGGTTTCATTCTGAACCTTATCAGTCTCTAAATTAATTATGAAAAAGATAATAAATATCTTCCTTTCTTCCTTCTCAAAGTCACAGAGAAATTAAAATGATATAAACCCACCTAGAGGAAGGTTACTACTTACATCCATTTTAAATTGGAGAAGGAAATTTTCCTGAAGAGCCAGAATCCTAAATAGGAAAATAAAATAAAGTCTACATGATGATCTATCTGCCCTTGCTTACAAGTAAATTCAGAGCATGTGAGGGAAGGATGGGTAGCTTCCAGACTACCCTAGAAAACAGTATAGCTGCCTGAAATACAGGAACGCCTACATCATAAAAACAGATTAATGGAGAAAGGTTTTCATAGAGAACCTCTGGTTGAAGCACTTTCAACTCTATAGCTGGTCTCTTCATTGTTAGAGTGGCCAAGATCAAATCCTGGGGAGAGTTGCTGTGGCAGACACACCAGCTGCCCCTAGGAAGCTCCTAGGAAGCACAGATAGAGGTCCATCTGCATGCTGACATCATTGTCATGGTCATTAATAAGGAGTGATTTTTTTCCTGGTGTGTCCTTCTTTACACATACCTCTCACCACCTTGTGTAGGTAACTGCCAAGAAAACACTCTGCTGGTGCAGCCAGTATCTCCTACGAGAAAAACTTACATCTGCTGTGATGTAGTCACATTAACTCCTTGTCATTGAAAAAAATACCCTCAGTGCTTGCAATTTCCCTCCCCCAGCTACACCTGCTGCCACCCTAAGTCCAATCACAACCCAGTTTACAGTTGCAACTAACCTGATCTGAGGCACCTGAATTTATCAGTGCTCTCTCATAGGGCCATAGTTATATCCATGTAGTTTGGACCCACTGATTCCAAATTTGAACACCTGCTTAGACTCTTTCTTTTGGCAAACACCTGACGTTGTTGCAGGTCAGTTAGCTTTGACAAGAATCCAACTACAGTTGAAATCAGGATTTCCCTCAGCTCATTCACCCCTGAATTGAGACAGAAGTTTAATCTCAAAATCTATGTTAATGAAATTAAGAAGATGGAATCTGAATTCGACTGTGCTGTGTAGAGGTAGTGCCTTTGGCAAGTGATTAGATTTGATAAGGCCCCATGTTGAATCCTGGTAGTTTTATAGCAAGAAAGAGACACACAGACACAGAGATGGACTTGCCAGGACTTGTGCCATCCTGTTTGATCTTCCAGACTTCAAAACTGTGTGCTAGGTAACTTATCTTTCTTTAGAAGGTAGCCTACCTTTGGTATTTTATTATAGCAACAAAAAGTGGACCGATACACAAGTTGACATCCACTCATATGTCTCACACCCGATTCACTGAAGCATTTTTCACACTGGGCCTCAGTGGCTCTATCCTGTCCTCCTCCTTCTCCACTACTGTTTGGCACTTTATGTCCTCTCCAGCACTGAAAAGCCAAAGAGCACTGAGATGGAGTCGGGCTCAGCTGTTAGTTTTGGTCTGAACCAACTGCTCCGTGTTCCTGAAGCGAAGGAATAGAGTCACAATGTGTTTTATCACAGGGTCTAATGTGAGATCATTTATGTGTGACATTGGTGGGCAGAATCTGTTTATGACCCATCTATGAAACTATACAAGTTCTCTTGGGGGGAGCAAAAGTTTTCATTATCTTCACAAAGGAATCTGTTAGCCCAAAAGACTCAGCAGCACTGCAGTTTACTTGTTAAGATGTACCTAGTCTTTAGAACTGTGGGGGAGACTTGATTCTGGTTTAAAAGGACGTGCCTTCTGTCATCTAACCTCTAGGAAGATGTTTCCAAATTCACAGTGTCCTTGTCACTCACCTGGCCAGGTCATTGAGATCCAACCGACCATCTTTATTTTTGTCAAAGATTTTCATCTGAAATGCAAAAAGGGAAGTGATGGCAAGAAGGACTTACAACAAGAACTCATTCTGAAAGTTATTCAAGAGCTTCCTTATTTTGCCCTTCTAGTTACCCATTTGCCTTAACTCACTGAGGAACACATCTGCTTGGGGAAACTGGTAGTTTCTACAAAATGAATTGACCTTAGCTTCCATGTTAGGATGGTCATAGTAACTGAGCACCCTGAATCTTGTGGCTTAGCACAACCCAAGATCATTTCTTGCTTGTGTTATATAAGAATCCAGAGTTGGCTGGGAGCTACTTCACATAGTCTTCACTCTGGGATTCAGAGTGACAGAGTAGCTACTATCTGGCAACATTATTAGATGCCATAGTACAAAAAGAGAACAAACACTTAGTGATTAAAATGTCATCATCCAAAGCAAGTCGTTGGCCACACCTAACTTCAAAGGGGTGAGCATTACAATTTTACTCCGTCCTTGGTAGGAAAATCACAATGATTTGGTGACTAGTGGAGGTAACTACCATTTTCTGACAGGCATAATAGAATTTTGCATATTGATTACAAACTTGGGATCTTGGTTTTTGCTTTGACTCAAGGTTTTCTGAACTATTTTGTAGCCCCCACATAGCATATCTACAATCAAGTCTAAGGGCCTCATATCCTAGAATACTCCCAGTAGTATAAAGAAGAAATCCCATGCATCCCAAAGATAAGGGAATAAGCTGAGCTGAGCTGAACTCCTCCTCCCATGGAGAACTCAGCATTGCCCAAAGAGCCTGATTACTTTATTAGATCAGACATCGCTTACACAAGACAGTACTCAAAGTTAAAAATGTCTACACAAAGCACAAATCGGGAAGACCAGATTGTGTTAGTCTATATCAAGGAGATGCACTTATTTTCATAGTAGAGTTGGAATGTGAGTCAAGTGGGTGACGTCACAACACTTTAAGACTGCAGAATATCTCAACCATCTCTATATAAGGACACTTCACAGGGAAAAAGCAGAAAAATAATCTGAAAATATATCTAACAGATTTTTGCCTTAAAAATACACTAGGCTTCAATCCTTTCTCCCTCTCCAAATCATTTTATATTTGAAGTGAATTTGAAAGCCTGTTCTCTTCAAACACTGGCACCTAACACGTATGTTATAAAATCTCTTAAGACGCAAATCATATTTTTATACTTTTGAACATATTGCATGTCCAGTTGTGTCGCTTGAATATAAACACTGCACCCAGCCTCACTTACTGCCTGTGTGGACCTGGGGCAGGTGTTCTGTTGGTACCTACAGTTCACCAGGTGCCTACCAACAGGTCTTTTTCTCCCACTGGGCAGCTGAGGGCAGGAGCACTACCACTCCCTTCCACCAGAGGTTTCTGCCTTGGAGCCAGAAGACTGTGGACTGAATCCCCTGAAACCATGAGCTAAATCATGTGTCCAGGGTCACAGACAAGATGCAGATGAACTGTTGCTAAACCTTAGACAGTACCTTTGTTTTATCCATGATACGCCCCCAAATACCCAAGACAATAGCTTGCACGTAGTAACCACCCAGTATTAGTCGTGTTAAAAGAAACATAGGACCTAGCATTTTCCTTTCTCTTGGCACTAACTTACTTCTAGATAGCTATGACAATTGAGGGTGGGGTTCCCTTTGGTAGGGTGGCTCTCACACACCACTGTCACCTCTACTGCTGCTTTCCCAGTCTCATGCTCATATCTCATCTTTTCCAGTAGGAATCATAAGCAGGTGGTGTGATGGGTAAGCTTGACTGCATCAATTTGATTGGCTTGGGAGCTGCCCAGGGGATTAATGGAGCCCACTTCTGGGTGTAACTGAATAAGCCATAAGGTTGTAGCCTTAGGGTCTGGGTCTAGGCCCTGACCCCTTCCTCTGATGGTGTTCCCTTACTCTCTTTCCTATCCACCATGAACTAAGCAACTTTTTTGCTGATACACCCTTCCATCAGGATGTTTCTGCCTTGGAACCAGATGACCATGGACTGAATCCCCTGAAATCATGAGCTAAATTAAACCTCTCCACTTGTAAATTGTGGGTATCAAGTATTGTGTCCCAATAATGGGAAAGTTAACTAATGAAAGTGCTATAGGTGTACCCAGAAATGGATACAAGGTCCTACTGACAAACTCTTTAAAATTTTGTGACTGGTAATTCCTTCTCAGGCAAGACACATCTTAGGAATTGAGTTACCCAGAACTCTCCTCAGACTGATTAATATGTTTCTTTATAACTCCAAATTTTGACAGATATAACAGGTATTATGAAATGTAAGTTTACCTAAAATCATTACCCAGTCTCTTCAGTTGATAGTTTCTCAAACAACAGACCCAAAACACAACTATTGTCTAGTAATAGAAGAAACCATTTGTGAATTTCTTAAATAAGTGGTAATTGATCATTAGAGTAGGATATATGACAGAAGTGAAAAATATACATGTATCCAGTAGGAAAAGGACAAGTTCCCTTCCTTACCTATTTTAGAGGTAATGGCCACTCAAAGACTCTCGAGTATCATTACAAAACTTTCTAAAGTGTGTGACACACACACTGCTTACCGTTTTTTATTTTTTATTTTTGTCAATAGGACCATGACCTATATACTGCCTTGCAACTTTCTTTGTTCATTTAATAATATTCTTGCAAAGAATTCTTAACTGTTATATTTATCTTAAAAGGCAGTATTTTGTTATAGCAATAGGAAACCGACTAATATAGTAGCCAGTAGCCTTGGTTGATTAGATATAGAGTGATGGAGAAAGAGGTATTAAAGATGTTTTCAAGAATTTTGCCTCGAAAAATTTGGAAGGTCAAGTACATACTGTTGGGGCACAGTTATAGTGTAAGGGCACACTTACAGAATAGCAAACTTCTAAGTAGTTTCAGAGTAAAAGCTAGAGATCAACAGCTAAAGGTCTGTGACAACGCTACTGCTGCTTATCACGTAGCTAGCCTACTAACTTCAGTTCATTTTGATTGTCTGCATCCAAATAACACACTGAGTCAACTTGGCTGTGTTACTTGCTTCAAGGACTTTAGGCCAGGAACAGACTGGCCCAGTCAAGGGCACGTTTAACTCTGCTTTTCCTACAAGAAACCCCCTCCCCTCTTTCCCAAAATGTTCCCATATTATGATAAAAATAAATTCCTTATAAGTAAACCTATTTAGAATGACTTGCCCGATAATGTATATAACCAATCATGTGATCACCTACTATCAACTTTTGTATTTCCTGCTTATAAAATGTATGTAAGTTTCTGTTTCACTCTCAGTCGCTGCTAGTGATTTGGACTTGATTCCATTAGTCTGCTAGCGTAATAAACATTGCCTTCTAGAGTCCTTGGTGCAAAGAATCTTCCATCCAGTTTGATATTTGGTTTTTCTGCAACAACCCCAGTGGAGCAGGTTTGTAATTGGAGTTTAGAATTTCAGTTTGGATGTGCTAAGTTTGAGATACATCTTGACACGGTAATAAACATCCAAGCACACTCAAGGAGCTCAGAGAAATGGTCTGAGCCAGAAACGTACACCAGAGATTGTTGGTCTTTAGTTAGTACTTAAAGTCAAGTGACAGTTTAGATCCCCAGTAGAGCAAAGGTAGACATGGGAAGAGAAGATAGCTTAGGAATGATCCCTGACCTTTCTCAGGTTGGCCTGGCTCAGAGACACATGACTTGATCTGGGAAGGAAGCAAACCAGAGGCTGGCTACTTTAATCCAGACAAGAAGGATGAGTGCCAACACCAAGATCCTGGATGGAGGCCACATATAATTCCCTTGATCCAATAAAGTATCAGGTTTTAATTTATTGGTTTACAAAGTTCAAATTCTGTGCTCTCATTTGGTACATGAGGTTAAGATCTCCTAGAGATTTTAGCTTACATTTACCACACTAAATATATCTACCTATCTGGCCAGCTAATTATCCCCTGCTCACTGCTGGCAGCAGTGTCACAACAGTATCACAACAATGTCTTATTTCCTTACTTGTCCAGAACACTGATTAGGAATCAGGATAAGACAAGGTGTGCAGACCTCAATTTTTCACCCTGATTGGCTGTTTGGCACGACTCATTCATTTGTCATACTTCAGATAGTTTTCAAATGTGTCCAACCTTATTCAGGTCAATTTGAATTCATTTAGTAGGTTCTATCTCTTACGCATTTTATGTCAAGCCTTAGAAGCAAAGCTTTAATGCAATGTTACCATGACTGTGCTCCTTGCTCAACCAAAAATCATTAAAGGAGCAGTAATGTGATTCCGCACATAGTGAATCACTTAGAGCTCAGGATGTAGCAGTCATTTTCAAGAAAGGTGAGTTTTAAAAATTAATACATCCAAAGGTCTCTAGGAAAAGAAGTCTTTAGAAACATCAATAGCTCTGTTCTAAAAATATGTTCATTGGAAAGTAAGGCCTACTACAACTGGCCAAAATCTCATTAAACTGATTTCATCTTCTGATCAAATTCAGATCTTTGGGCAGACACTCACCAGACTTCCTTAGCAATTGCCTTAGTGCATAAAGAGGATGCAAAAGGCTGCTTGAGGAAGAGAGTTTTATTAATTATGCTCTAATTAATAAATGTTCCAGGGGATCATTTCAAACCAGAATGAATGTTTAACTGCAGCACACTTAAGCAGAAGAACTATGAGGTTTTAGCAATGAAACAGACACAAAATAGTAACAATGTTCCCGTCAATGGACAAGACCTCTTGGATTCCCCCCCCCCCCAGCTATGTCTCAGAATTCTAAACTAATAGATCTAAGCTATATGTGATCCAGACTTACTCACCACAAGGTTTTCTTCAGCTCTGGGCATCGTACTGTAAGATGCTGCAAACTGGTGGTTCCTTAAACTTAAGCGTGGAAGTTACGAAAAGAAAGGAACAGCTCTGCCCACTCAGGATTCCAGGCTGATACAGGGTGCACCAGCTCCTTTGAGTCAGAGACTGCACTGTTTCCTGAGCTCTCAGAGCCTTCTCGGCTCCCACCTTGGATGAGGGAGCTGTCTGAATGGAAGCCTTTGGAGTTGTATGCAGGCTCCATTCACCTTTCTTTCCCCCTTCTCCAGAAAAGTGGCGATACATCTCTTCTCCAAAACAATTGTGTTGTCTCTTCTTTCCCATTGCTGCTTATTATTTTCTTTTCTGCTTGGTGTTTAAATAAGATGTCAGTTCTTTGGATTTTAGAGACTTTATGCTAAGAAAAATCTTTTTTCCTGGGTAATAAATCCCACTATGGTTCCTGCATCATCTTATATTTAAAGGTATATTCATACGACACAAGTTCCCTCACTTGGCTTTATTCTTGCCTGATTCTTGCCTTTCTTCCCAGGTTTGTCATGACTTCTTGGTCTATGTATACAACCTTGCCCTCCCCCTTTGGAAAATTTTCTCTTTAACAATATTAAATTCCACCATTCAGACATAAATGCTATTGTTGAAAACATAGGTTTTAGAGGCATACCTGGTTATGAATTTGCAATTCCACTCCTTCCCACATTTGACCAGTTAAGATCTATAATCCTCAGATGTTTCATTTGGTAGAGAGGGAGTTTTATAAGATTTGCTGTGAATCAAGTGAGATGTCTGAAAATGCTTTGAGATAGGCTGGTTACAAAGTGAGTATAATTATTATGATTAAAATACTCAGTAGTACAGTATATGCTAGTTGTTATTTCATGAAAGTAGAATATCACATGGACGCAAGCCAGCACTGCAAGGCACTCATTCTGGCTCCACTTTTGAGACTCCATGTTAAGGGAAAAGGAAATAGACATTTCAGGCATAAGGTGCTGCTTGGGGAAGGTATGTACCAAAAGCTGAGATGTACATCTGCAGCCCAGGCAAAACAGGCGAGCAAGAGCTTTAACAGGAATGCATAATGGAAAATTCAGATCAATTTGCATTAAGTAACCTACTGTGTGCCTAGGCCATTTGTGGGCTGGCATACAGAGAAAAGATGCTGTCCTTGCCCTCAAGGAGGCACAGGCTTGCACAGCTCCATACCCACACACACATCAAGTCAGTGCCATCTCAGACTCACCTGCTATATCAGCCAATCCTGTGGATTCCATCCTAAGAACTTCCCTATCCCAACCTGGTGGCCTCTCTCATCTCATTCCAAGTTTTTCTCAACTTAGCAGCCAGATGGTTTAGTCCTCGCTTCAGACCCTCTGGAGAATCCCATCGCACCCACACTGAGCTGCAAGTTTCCATAAGCGCCTAAAGCCCACCATGGTCTGAATGTTGGTTGTCTCATCTTTGCTCACTCTGCTCCAGCTGCACTGGTTCCCTGCTCCAAAATACTTCAAATGTGTCTGCTCTCCAGCCTAGCTCTACCTAAGTCCTTCCTCTCCTCTCACCTCCCTGGGACACCTGATGGAAATTACACCTTCTCCCCAGCTCCCACCACAGATGTGCCGGCAGGTTCTACAACTCCATTTCCCCCACCACACTTTTTACTGCCTATCATGCAACGTAATTTATTATTTATTACTTGCATTGTTTGCTGTCAGTCTCTCCTTTGCCAGTTTTGCTCCCTGCTGAACTGCCAGTGACTTGAATAGTGCCTGAGCCAAAAGTATTTAATGAATATTTGGGGGAAGGAATTAAATGAGTGATTATAGTATCAAGATGGTAACAAGCGCCATAAGGACCTGGAGAACTGATCCTGGGACTCCCTATGCAAGAAGGTGCTGGAAGCTTTTCAGGGCAAGATGATTTTTTGTTTGTTTGTTTGTCTTTTGGGGACAGGCTCATGCTATGCAATTCAGGCTGCCCTTGATCTCACTTTGTAGCCCAAGCTGGTCTTGAACTCACAACAAGCCCCCTCAGCCTCCCAAGTGCTAGGATTATAGATATGCACTACCAAATCCAGCTCTAAATGAATTTTTAAGGATAAGCAAGAAGCAGATGAAGAAAAGTAGGAAAAAATAGTTACAATATATTAAGCAATCAGTATTATTAGTAGGAATTGAGAAGACTTCAAAGTCAAAGGGTTTCATGGTGCAAAAAAAATATGAAAACTAAGCTAAAGATGAAAAATGCAAATCTATTCATTTTGTGTAATTCATGCTTTATAAGTGAATGAAATTGACATAGTAACAGCTAGTGCCAATATTCTGCTAAATTGATGTTTAAAAATATGCTCAGCACCCAGGCAATCCAGAAGGTTGAATTGCAAGAGCTGTTGAAATAAGGAGCGAGCCTCTGTGAGACACATTCTGGCCTGTTCAAAGCAGAGTAATTTATTCTTGCTGCATGGCGCTCAGCCAAAGTCTTTGGATCAAAATCTCCAGAGCGACTGGGGGAGGGGGGAGCTAAAAGAGCTTTCATTTACATTTACTGTTCAGAAAAGTTATTAGCTAATTGTTCAAGGCAATGTTATACACATACATTTAACCAACGTGTCACTTAGTTTATCCACAGGTAAGTGGAAGGTGCATTGCAAACCCAGCTGAAACAAGAATGCACTTCCAGAAGTCCTTGTGACACGAAGCCCAAGCACAGAGCTGTTTTACATCAAAAAAAAAGCACTTTACATGGCAGACTGCCTTCTGCTAACCAAGGCTGGTTAATAATGATCAAATTGTTTGCTGAATGATGCTCTAAAAGTGCTCGATGAATAATGTCATCAGGTGGCTTGAAAAGTGAGAAAAAAATACATATGATATGTGAAAAGAAGCTAGAACCATGATGTGTGCAGCTTGCAGATTTTTAACGCGGCTCCAGACTATTTCTGTGAGGAGAAAAAATGTTGCAGTGTCCTACAACTTTGTGGGTTAAACTGCTTCTTTAGGAAGCGTTCAGATAAACACTTCTCTTTCTTTGGCCTTATCCTTTCCCTGTGTTTGCATTTCCTGCTTTCTTTTCTTACTCTTTCGCATCTTCTTCTACTCTTTGTCACTGCATGTGCAACAAAAAAGGGAAGGGAACATTTATTTCCCCAAATTGTATCACCTTAATTAGGGCTAAGAAATTTGACATAAAGTAAATATCCACAAAATTGTAAAAATACTAAATATGCTCAATAAGAAGAAGGATTTTTTTTTTGTTGTTCTGGCCTTTGGGCCATTTTTATCAAATTTCCTGCTTGTGTTGTTCATTCCATTGCAGGGTTCACAGCAGCTCAGGTCAAAAGGACCTAGTGACCATCCTGTGACCAGGAAATTGCTTCTTGCTTCTGGAGGAATTTGCATTTGACCTTTAGTACTATGATCACATTTACTTGGGATTTTGAGCATCATTTTGCATGTTATTAAGGCAAATAGACATAGCAAGAAGTCAAATTGCTTACTTGAGATCCTGTCCTGCGATTTGATTTTCCCCTTGATGTCATCCATTTCCCTATCCAGGCTACTTATAAATGATCATAGTCAAAAATGCTTTCTTCCACCTCAGGGCACATCATGTGGCAGGAGGAGGGAGAAGCATTTAGAACAATGGGATGTGGATTTTGAGGCAGGAAGGGACCAGGACTGAAAATTAGAGCATGTTAGCTTCCAGTGCAACTGGTACCTTCAGCTTTTCTCAGTCAAGTGACCTTAAAGTGAGTTTCTGTGTGGGGAAACACCAGCTGCAAGCCTCTGTTGACGAATGTAAGAGCTCACATTGTGAGAGAAGTCCACACTCTGTCCTCAATGGTCTGCACTCTTGACTCACCACTCCAAGGCTCAGCAGATCAGTCTGCTCCAGAACTGTTACATAATAATGCGACAATCTCACAAGTTCACAGGTAAGCCTTGGTCAGCAAACTACTTCCTTAATAACCAAGAAGACTGCAGATCTGATGAGCTACAGTGCAGAGCTGGGGATGAGAAGCCACTACATGGAGAACCCAGGTCCATTTCTACAAGAATTTCTGGCTGGTGCTGGGAGAGGTGCACTGTGTAAGGCAACAGAACGGAGTATGGGCCAAGTTCTCAACAGCTGGAAGCTTGACACTGAGACAGTCTCCGCTTCCTTTGGCACAAGGATGGTATGACTGTGAGGACTCTTCGAGTTTGATACTCAACACATTTTGTTGTAGTACTCATGCTTTGTTCGGTACTACGACTTCTCAGTGTTGATTTCCTCCTGACTGGGTATACACCTCAAAGCCAGAACAATCTGATTGTCATACTTCCTGGAACCAAATAAAGACAGATACCAAGACCCACTGTACTACAGGAAGAGGGGACGTGTGCTATGATTCTGTCCTGGACACATGCAACTTGGTGTTCTACCTGTACCAAGTTCCTTTGCCTTGTAGTAATGAGATACTCTTAGGTCGCATATTACAGACAAGCAAACAAAGCTTAGACACTTGACACTTTCTAGGCAATAGCTAGTAAGCTGCAGAAAAACATGTATCCTCTATCTGTCTGCCTTTCCACTACTCTAGGTCAGCACCTCAGTGCCTAGAATCATCCTCTGTGGCAGGGAGCTGCAGCTCTCTGGTCCTGATGGCCAAGTCCCTGCTTACTTGTTTGCTGGGTGACTGATTAACACTGAAGTCACTGACTAGGTGCTTAGAAACAAAATGTTGCCTGGAAACAAGTGGGTGGCCTTCTCACGGATATTTGCAATCTGTTCCTGAGACTGAGAGGGGCTAAAGCACTCAGTTTTACCCAGTGCTCCCCAGCGACGAGGTTCTTTTCACGCATTCAGTCCACAAACATTTTCTGAGGGCTGGAGGAGGCAGCCAAGTGCCGCCCTTGTGGAAATCGCTCTCCATGACTCACCATGGTGTCAGTGTATTCTTCCAGTTTTGCCTCAGAAATGACCTTTTTATGGTGGAGGAAGAGGTCTCGGAGGAAGTTCTGTGACATCAAGAGAAAAGTGACATTTATTCAGCCAGCAAATAAGCTGCAGAGGTCTCAAGAGGCCTGTTTGTCTGTTTCAAGGAGGAAGTAAACCTTTTAACAAGCAATCAACTCAAGATTGCAGAGCTGTCACCGTTTAAAGAACCTCATGAGACCCAGAAAATAGCTTCTGGTATAGAAAAAAGAGTTTTAAATACTCAATCATGCCTCTTTCCCAGAGACAGCAATGTAACCTAAATTTTCTAAATCTTCCAAATATGAATACATTGTTAAGTAACAAATATAAATTTATATTTCTTGGGCCACAGAAATCAAACTCACGTTGTATATTAACCAAATTATCAATAACAACCAAAGCGACATTTCACCAGTGACAGTTCCCTTCCCCCAGTGGCACTTACTTGAAGCTCAGCAGCTGATATAAAGCCACTGCTGTCTGCATCGTATTTGCGCCAAATCTGAAATACACAGAGACCGTCGGTCAATATACCCCCCACGTAGACTACTATGGGGTTGACTTATACTGGTGTTTTCCATGGTTCACGTCTGAAAACAGTTCTTAACTGAATGCAAATAAACTTATTTTTTAAAGTAAAACAGAAAAAAGGATAGAAATGACACATAATTTCAAAAAGTAATAGTAAGAAATCATCACCCATTAATATATCACATATTGTTAGCTTAGAAGTAGTGTTCAAGTTACAAAATCAAAGCATAAAAAATGAGCACATATCAATCAATGACAGCACAAACTATGCTTTTTGATGAACTAACAAAAACTTAGTAGTATGCTTACCTATCTTACACACTTAAACAGACGTGCAGTTATATGTGTATACCTACAATTTGTTCTTTCCTTTTGAGCACTTTCCCTTTCATTATTACAGCATCTATTATACATTTTGGATCTTACTACTCTTTCAGTATTATTATTATTATTATTATTATTATTATTAAGCATGTACAGCCACTGTGAAAATCAGTATGGAGATTCCTCAGAAAACTAGGATTGGAAGTCCCATTCAATCCAGCTTTTCCCCTCCTAGGTATTTTCTCAGAAAAACTGAAAAAGTCAAATAAGTCTTTTTAACAAGAAATTTGGGGCCTTCTTTCACAAAAGCAATTGTTTCAGCAGAACTCAGTAGAAATGGGCCACTTTTACTTGGAGAATTCATGAAGATCAGTGGGCTCACATTGCCATGGTTCTTTTCTTTCTTTATTTTTCTGGAACTGGGAATTGAATTCAGGACCTCGTGTGTGTTAGGCAGGTGTCATGCCGCTAAACTAGTTCCCCAGCACTTGCCATGGTTCTTTGCGGAAGCTCGAAATAGAAAGATAAGAAGGAATGGACTTCAATTTGAGTGATACTGCAAACTAAGAAGCCTTCTCTGTCCTAAACACTTAAAAGTGTGGAACATTGAAAAACAACATATAACTGAGCTGGCAAGAAAGAGAGAGGATTTCTACAGGATCCTCAGGATAGGGAAGCACAAACCCAGAAAGGCGTACTTTGGAAACAAAGCCCATTCCAGGTGTACATGCTGGTTCCAGGTGACTCAGCCTGCAGCATCATTAGAAAACCATACTTGTGGTAGACAAGAGACAAATCCACACAAGGTGAAATCAGACTGAATCACCTTCTTTCAATTGGAACTCTACATTACAATTTCTTAATGAAAGAGTAAACTAAACAATAATAATAATCTGCAGGAAAGTCCCCTAAAGTAATCTTGCCTGTGTGGCCTGGGCTCTGGGGGCATGAGATGATCTATCTCTGACAAGCTGTCCGTCTTCCTGGTTTGAGCCTATTGCTCTTCTGGCTGAAAATACAATTGCACTCTGAATTAGAAGACAGAACAACTAAAAGTTTTTGAGGAAAACTGTGAACTGCTATCTTTAATAAACACTGTTACTGTAACCACTTCTGATAATGCCATTGACAAGACTCAGACTGGTTAGTAAGCTTCTTAACACCTATACAAAATGAAAAGTAGCTCAAAGTAGTTTTGTTTTTTAGTAGTCAAGAGTTTCTTTAGGTCCTAATGAGCAACCATGTTACCAACTACCAGGACCTCATTTCAAGACAGGCAAGGCCCTGACCAAAGAGCTTGCAGGATACTGGGAGTTGCTTACCTGATGCCAGTATTTAGTGGAATAGTTAGAAACACCACTCCTTCCAGTCTCTGAATTTAACCAAACTTACAAATCAGTGGGTTAAATCTGATTTATATTCTAACTTTTAATGGGTGAATATACCAAAACATACAAATCAATGGGTTAAATCTGATTTTTTTTCTAACTTTTAATGGGTAAATATACCAATAATATGAAAATTTCAAGTAATTTTTAAAACATTTTATATGCTTTGAAAACACTATTGTCCAGATATTCCCCATCTAAATGATCTTAGAGTTTTACTACAGCTGGATCCCAAAAAATCAAACATTTTTATGTGAATACTCAGCAGGCCTATCATTAAAGCATGAAAGCAATATAAAGAGATTTCCAGACCACCAGAAATAGTTTGTTACCAGTGGACTCTTAGGAAAGGGTATACCCTAGGGAAAATGAAAAACATGAAGAAGGACAACGAGGATGCAAAAGGGAATAACCAGCAAAGACAAGGATAAACACGTGGGCAAACTGAAATGAATGCTGACCGCTCGAATATATGGGATTAAACAAAAAAAGACAGAAACAATGTCTTGTGCTGGGCACGTTGGCACACACCTGTAATCCTAGCACTTGGGAAGCTGAGACAGAAGTGTTACCATGAGTTCAAGGCCAGCCTGGCTACAGAGTGAGCTGAAGGACAGCCTGAACTTGATAGCGAGATGCTGTCTCAAAAAAAAAGAAAAGAAATGAAATGAAATAATGTTTTGCACTCTAATGGCACTTGAGCTGAAATTCTGCACTGAGAGTTAAAGTATAAGTTTCATGGTTCTGGGGAAAAATAAATACATTGACTTAGAATTTAATGAAATTTATAGGATATAATGGGTTACAACTAATTTAATTTGTTTAAAGAATTCAAGAATCTACAATGATCTCGGAAAGACAAATATTCTTTAAAGAAAGGGAAAGTTAGTCTTTACAAAAAAAATAACCTGAAACTGGAAAGAAGGGGAAATAGAATTTATTTTTTAAAAAGATAAAAGGCTTCCTCAGTACTGTTTCCTCTTTGCATTTCTCTCAGGGATTCTACACTGCCCGAGATCTAGCACACTAGTACTTACCTTCTGACTTAAAAAATAAACCATATTTGTCGTGCAAAACTCATGAAATACAAAGAATAGAAATATATGAAGCCCAGGAGCTCCTGTCCAGAGATAATGACTATTTCTATGTGTTTCCTTCCTCTCGTGCTTCGATTACTCATACAGCAAAACCTAACTGCCGGTTCTAATCCCTCTACACATGGGCTGGCTTATTTTATACAGCATGTTAAAACAAGATCACAAACATTTAAAGTGGCTTTTAAACAACTATGATTCTACAAACAACTGGAAAATTTTAAAAAATACAAAGAATATGAAAATCAGCTGAAATCATATCATTTACAATCACTATTTATCTATCTTCCATGCATATTAATTAAATTATGTGAGGATGAATGCTTTTATTCTTTATGACAGAATCTCACTGTATACTTCAAGTTGGCACTGAACTTACTATGTAGCCCAGGCTGGTCTCAAACTCACAGTGATCCTCCTGCCTCAGCCTCCCAAATGCTAGGATTACAGGTGTGTGCCACCACATCCAGCCTGAATGTTTTTTAAAAGAAATTAAGATCACGCTGCATACAGTTTTGTTTCTTAACATGATATTGTGCCTCCTCATCATAAGCGTTCTTTGGAAATCTGATCTTTAGTGATGCGTAATGGTCAAAGATGGGATCGTTCTCTACTCAACCTGTTGCATTTAAAACCATCCCAAGCAGATCAAAGTTCTCAGGAGTAGACTCACAGGGTGAATAAGTCATATAAATGTATCATAATTTGTCTCATTTTTTATTCAGTGTTAGGCTTTTATATATTTTCAGTTTGAACTATACACTGCAACATTTAATAAACATGACCATACAGAAGAAATCTTGCTCTAGGTCTTTGGTTAGATCTCTAAGAAAGATGCCTGGAGAAATAGAATTATAAAGTCTTTAAAAAGTAACTCTAGATAGTGAAAGTTTAAGGGGCCTGGTTAAATTTTTCCAAGATCACTTTTCATAAAATGATTCTGCACAGAATGGCTTTTAACAGGGCATTCTTGACAGTCTCATGGCTTCCTTTACTGCACTGTGGGTTTTTATGGATCTCCTTAAAGTCTTTACCATTTCTATTGTAAAAACTTATTTTAATTTGCATTTTGTGGGTTACTGATATACATTTGTATTGCATGCAAATTTCTTCTGGCTATGCATGTTTTTGGCCGATGTCACATGAAGTCACACAGAACAATGCCAGAGAATGAGATGTTGTTACCTCTAAAGGGGGCGGGGCATGGCACTATTTCATGTGTGGGGTCCAGGACAAAGTGGTGATCTTGAGTTCACTGCTGCTGTGGCCTACCTGCCCTCCCCTCCTATGGCAGTTTTCACCCAGAGGCTGAAAGAGGGGGGTCACCCGGATGGAAGAAGCTGGGGGGACCAGGGGTATTGTCTCTAGTTTCTATTCCAGTACCTGGTTGCAAGCAGGTCAGTACACTTATAGATTGTGGTTGACTGCATTGCTCCTTCATGGCTAGAGTGAGTTCCACAGAGAGGCTGGATTTCTAGGTACAATTCTCAAAAAGCAAAGTTCACTGAAGCTCCACAGGGCTACTGGCTTTAGACAGAATGTGTGCTGTCCCTGTTGGTCGTGTCAGCTCTTCCTGCTCCCCGTCCTGCTCTTAGCATACCTGGCCAATCCTGCTAGAAGAACCATCAGTTCAGGAGCAGCCTGGCTCACCTCTGAGGACTTCTCTGCTGTCTTCTATACACAGATTCCTCTTGGGATTGGACAGGCAAGCAGCAGCTGCAATGTGACACTCACCTGCATAAACTCCACACTGCTGTCCAAGGGAGCTTCCAGGTGAAACAGGAGGAGAAAGTTTTCATCCTCAGACAAGAACATACTGGCCAGCTAGAAGATCAAAGAATAGCATTCAAGGACATGGGGACACTGGCCAGAGTCACTTTACAGAGAATCCCCTGGGTAATAGGCTATGATGCATACTATATTGTAGAGGGCTCTGATCTCGCAGGACAGGTCCAGCTGTAGCTCTGAACCCACTGTTGCCATTTGTTGATTTACTTGTCCTTTCCAAACATGTCATTCTGCTACTAGGTGTGAAACATTTCCATGGCAGTCTCATACTGCTTGTGTTCCCTGTGTCTCTTTGTAGCTTTGGAATCCACACTGAGAAAGTGATTTATGTCATTTAGGCTTGTGTAACTGTGCTCTGTCACAAGTATGCTTTTCTCAGAACATGTACCCATTGTGAAGCAATACATAACTGTGGAGGAAATTCTTTCAAAGAGTAACCCATTCAGAAATTTGAGGAGGAAAGATCAGGTAAGAAGTAGACCATCCTAGATGCCACACACTAAAATCATTGTTTTTCTTTAGTAAGCACTCAAGAAAAGAGGACTTGAACTGAAAAAAGCTATTTTCTGTTTGTTTTTAATCATCTTCAGCGAAAGCTCTTTGCAGCCTCTGCTGGATGCTGATGTAGAAATTTAAACTCATTTAGTGTCTTGTTAATTTTGTCTTACATCAAGGATTAGTTCGAACAAGACACTGCAGAGAGACAAACGTTGGTTCAAGTACCTGAAAGGGCTCCATCATCACAAGTTCATATCATCCAATCATAAAGCAAGTACAAATATTGATTGACCTAAATAAAACGATGAAAGAATTTCCCAATCTCTGTTACTAGGCAACTAAGCAGATGAAAAAGGAGAAATGATTACTTTCAAAATGTTATTCAGGCCAACAGCCTTGCAGGAAGTTCTAATTTCCCAATCAAAGGTTAAGATTACCATTGCCTTCAAAGGAAATTACAGTTTAAGAAGGTGCAGCCAGGACAGACACAATCATGAACAATACCTCTTTCATTCTTATGTGGCCTTCTTTAGGGACACCGTAGGCAGTCATAAATTGTTGTTTTATCTTGTGTACATTTTCCTCCATAACTGAGTCCTGCAATGAGCCATATACAACCACATTAAAGCCACCAGGATTCAAAAACATAAATATGATAGCAAATTTTCAAAACACACAGCCCTATCATTATGGTCTCCTACCCTGGAAAGCCAGTTCCTCAGCCATTTTGAGTGATCCTACTGTTTTATAGAAGAAAGAGCACTCATGAACATTTCTTGAGTAAACAGACAGCTACCAAATTATGTCTAGGTAAAATTTGTAGTTTGTGAGTCACTAAATATGGACTAAAAAAATGCTTAGAATGAGAGTAGTAAAAGAATGAATTTTAAAATAATGATCATTTTGATTGCAAGAAAAGATTATTATAACTAATACACAGATGTTTCCGTTTTTTAACTAAAAAGTCTAGCTTTAGGTACTATCAGCCATTCTCTTAAAGTTTTCCTAGTACTCTCATAGGAAAAAATAATTATAATAATTAGGAAAAAACCAAAGAAACAAAATAATTGTTGAGTTACCAAAGAGGTCATATTTCTCTCCGGTGTATCTTTTCTACATATTTAGTTGTCTTCTTTAGTGGATTTCAGCTTATTGCAAGAAACATAACAGATGCACCAACAGAAAAAAAGCAAATCTGCTGCAAGAGCGGAGAGGCCAGACACTTCGCACTTCTGAGGTTCCGTACTTGCTGAAATTCTTATAAAATTGATTCTCTCCAATCCCATTATCCTTTTCCTACCCTGAGTCTATCAGCTGTGAGTTTCAGGCTGAGAAGAGGTGATGCTCTTGGCTGACCACCTGCCCTGCTGGTATGGAGAGGGACAGTGACTCTGAGGTCCTGGGAGGCTCTGTGGGTGCTCTGTGCCTGGGCTCACATTTGAGGCTGTTCCCTGGGGCCTAGGACTCACCCAGTTCCCCCTTTCTCACTCATAGTTCCCAGGACTAACTATAGGATATGCTGAGAATGAGCCTCCTGAGTTTGAAAAAGAATTGTCTGGGACAACCCAAGCATGGATCCAGTATAGGGTAGGATGTCCCAATCATGTTTGGCCCACCACGGCATGCTGTGCCCAAGTATAAAACTCAGGGCAACTACTTTTTGTTGAGTACTCAGCTAGTGTTGAACATGACCCTGATCACATTCAGCAAAATAGACCCAGCCATTTGCTTTGGCACAGGCTGTGCCAAAACACCCTTGCCCTGTTTTCCTTTTCCCTGGAGCCCCTCTTTGATGAGTTCTGCAGAAGGGGGCGGATGGTGAGAGGGATGAGTGGTAAAGAATAACAGACACCTGCCTCTAATTCATAAGGGCAGGTGAATAAACATTCATGAAGAGCTATCCATTGAGGCTCCATGACACATGGCACCTTCACGGTGTCCATGGAAGATTGCTTCTGTGCTGTCCTCCTAGCCTTTCCTCTTTGGGAAGGTTTTTGCTTTGCTTTGTCGTCATCATCATTGTCGTCATCTTCATTACCATCTTTGTGCTTGTTAATCCTTTGTACACTGAAACTTTCCTTTATGGCTTTCCTACCCCTAACTGAGGAAACATCTCAAGGGTTTTCTTTTGTTTTGTAGAAATGACACAAATATCCTTTCACTTGCCCTCTTGTCCTCAGACAATCATCTCTGCATTTGACGGTTTTCATAGGGTGAATGTTGCCCAGGAATAGCAAATCTAAAGAGTCATCTAAACTCTCTACCTCGTAGGACTTGAGATATGAAAAGAGGAAAACTATTTGTTGCTGCACCTGAATTAAGTGGCCTGCTTCTTGTTGATTAATCTGTGACTTGGAAGCAAGAGTGAGGAGAAAAGAATCAGAGGATATTAGGTGCCATTCTCCAAGGACATGAGACACTACCCTTTCACCTTACTGATGTTGAAAGACACCAAGAGGGTGACTTGCTTTCACTGCTATCTATCGGAAGAGTAAGCCTGAAGCCAGCACTTCCCAGTGCACCTAGCAATCAGGGCAGAGCGCAAAGGCAGAGTGCCCAAGATTCATGGGTTATAAATGAGCAATGGCTCAAAGTCCAAGGAGAGCTTGGGGCCTTGTGTTCAGGAAAAGCTCTGGCCTATTATTTAAATATCATAAGACCCTGAAATGTGAAAGCCAAGGGCACCTTTGCCAGCAGCAGCAATTTAATGCCAAGGAAGACCCAGAGTATTATTGTAGGATTTCAGTGCCTGACATTAGAACCTTGTCCAGCTAACTGTGGGAGGTTAGTACACAGGAAATGTTTGATGGGTGAGCTACAGCAGGAGGTAGAAAAAAATGCTCTGTGATGAGATGATTTAAGCTATTGGATTCCTCTAACATCATCTTAATTTTCTATACTTCTAGGACTGATGTAGTAACAGAAATACGGGGCCCCATCAAGTTTCATGTCAATCATTTTGGCCCTTGTTTGTGTAGTCATCCACTAATTTTTGGCAGCACTAATAAAAATGCACTCATGTCCCCTCTTTTTTTCTTGTCACCTTTTACTCATGAGGATTAAATTAAAATACGGTAGATGAATTATGTATACACAAGAGAAAGAGATTAATGAAATAATGTCTCATTTGATTCCCAGCCAATTAAAAGTTTCATGAATAAGCATATAATATATATATATATATACATACATATATATATACATATATATATACATACATACATATATGTATGTATATATATATATATGTATGTATGTATATATATATATATATATATATATATATATATATATAAAGGCAAACCCAAACCTCCAGAATTTGTAAATGATGCATTAATCAAAAGGATTTGTGTATCTAGTCATACCAAAGCCATCTGCTAGATTTATGGCTTCGGTCTTATACTTAGAATGATTAAATGATTAAAATAGAGGGCTTGGACAGATTGACTCTGTAAACACATCAAACAAATGTCCTCACTTGATGATTCTAGACAGGGATATAATAGTCAAGACCCTAACTGAAAGACTGAATGCTTTCCTAAGTGGACACACCAAGGGAAAATTGTGACAAAAGGTGTTAGTGACTTGGAACCAAAATCTCAGAGACAGATGTGAGAAATGGATTATTTGTCTCATTCTAAGCAAGCGTCCTGGGCCCCTGAGGTGACTGTCCACTGTCTGCTGTCTCCCAGTGAGTAGTTTCTTTACTCATGGGGGATCAAAGGGGGAGTATGACTGAACCATTCTCCAAGGGAAATGGAAAATTCAAAATCTCTTGATCTCATTGATAAATATGTTTAATGTTAGATCATAAAAGCTTTTCATAAACATAAAAGCATAAACTTCAATTATCCTGTACAGGGTGATCCATTAGTGGATCTAAGAAGGGAAAAGGGTACAGAATAAGCATTGGAACAGTTGAGGTCCCAAGAAGATGTCACATGTATACATCAGGCACTTCCACAGCTCAGGAGCCTCTTCACTTCTGCTGTCTCTTTGTGACACTGGCAGCCAAAACATGATTATCCTCATTTTATGTACAAGAAAATTGAAACAGATGCAGGGAGTTAAGTGGCATTTTGATGTCAGCTAGGACACAAATGTCTGATTTCTGTTCCACATAATTTTCCTCCCCTCTCTGCATGAGGCTTCTCTAGAGTCAGCCTTCAGACAAAGAGCCACGAGGACAGGTAATTACAGCAGGCTGATTGCTCCCCAAGATTGACAGCAGGCAGCTTGCCATTAGAACTCTAAAAATCCTGCATCTGAGGTTCCTGTAAGGGACTAGTCAGTGGGAGAATGTGGAGCTGTTCAAGCCTCTGTTGAACTTCATGCCATTTCTACACCTCGAGGAAGGGGCCACCTGATCCTGGAGGCTCCTCTTGTGCTGGCTTCAGTTTATACTGGGTACACACAGCACCACAGCAAAGTGACTGTCCCTCCTGATTGAACTCGCTTAGCTCCAGTTTACTGCCAACCGGACAAAAACCTAAAATCAAGGCACCTCCGGTTTCCATTCTGTTTGTGAAGGCAGCACAGAGTGACACAGAAGAGGTCCCCAAAGTCACACATGTTGTGCCTCCACACTTGGAGAACTAGAAGCAGGTAGTATTATTTCTGGTTTACAGTTTGATCAATCTATAAGAGCTCTTTCCCTAGCCTCATGCCGAGAAGTGGATCCTGGGGTTACCGTCACAGCTCAGTGGACCTGATCTGATCACAGTGGGACCCTTCTGCACAGGCTGTCACTGTTTCTATAAGTGCCAAGGGTGATGGAAGAAGATGCAAACCAAAGTGCAAGATTCTTTCCAGGCCCTGAATGTAGTAAAATTCCTAAGGCCCGCATTTGAACCAACATAGATTATTCTTAAGCATACCGAAGTTAGAATTGCACTGGCCTAAGGACTATGAGGCCTCTTGTCCTATTTTCTAGCCTCAGAGATAGCTATGCTGAACACTAATGATTCATCTGAAAGCTCTCTTCTCCAGAGTCTACTTGCCCATGTGTGAGGATCATTCCACACGACCAGATCTGAGGGATCACCTGTGATCAGAACAGCCACACTGCTCTCCAAGAGGTGGCTCCTTCTTCTCTCTCACCAGTGGCAATGACACCTATCAGGTTGGCCACAGCTTCAGACAAAGACTGCTCCAAGTATCCTCAATTGTATTGAGGTGGCCACACCCTTCAGTGCCTGCACATGACACTTCTGGTTTCAATGGCTGACTGCAAATTCTCTCCTTCTTTTCTGTATGTCGCTAAGTCAGAGAGACTTTGGAAAATGTATAATTTCCAAGCCTCACAACTTCTAGAATTTTAGGAGTTGACCATCCTCTTTTGAAGTTCAGGAGTTGGCTATCCAAGGCTTTGAGTGGTCTAGCCTCCATTTTTTGGCTTTTCCTCAAACACCCCTGTCAAATGGTCAGCAAAATGTGTTTGATTCATGCATTTTTAGAAGCCATGAGCCTCAGGATGTACAAATAGTGGAAGCTGTGTAGCAAGGTGAGGGGTTTGCTGTGGGCTGCTTACATGTAAAACAGGGCAGCAAAGAGGGCTGTGAACCTCCCTGCTCTGAGGCATCCTCAGCCCTGATCCCAGCTGATGCAGAGGCAGCCATGAAAGATAAAGAAGTGGGCAAAGGCCTTTACCCCGTGGCTGCATAGGGTATGAGGTGGGACCAAAAAGACAAAGAGGTCAGAGAGAAAGGAAGAGACAGTAGGGGGTGAAGGGAGAAAAGTGCAGAGATAAAACACAGAAATGAACGGACTAGAGAGACAGAAAAGTGATGGCAAACAGACATGAGGCCCCTGTGGCTGAAGGCCATATGGCAGCTTTTCTTCTTCAGAACGGGCTGCCCATGTCCCCAGTGCCCTCCTTCAGTGATGGAGAGCCAGGGCCTGGGAGCCCTCACTGGGCTGCTCCAAGCAGATGTGCTGCACTTTGTACCTTTCCAGGTAATCAGTGTCCGAAGAAGAGGAAGGACCTCCATGATTCACTGACTATGGCGGTGCCAGAGCTACGCCTCCCACAGTCTGTGCCTGAATCACTGTGTCCAGATCGAGCCCATCCCCATTCAGACCTCAGCTCTTGGCTCCATGCAAGTTCTTCCTCTTCTTTCCTACCATGCTGCTCAAGGGCCATCTACATCTCTCAAGGCCAAATTTGCCATGTGGGACATGAATATCAGATGAATTGGTTTATACTTCTCGCTGGACTCTGAGTATATTGGTTTCTTTTGGGTTTGTCATTCCCTAAGAACTCTGTAATTTCTTCTAATAAAATGAAAAATGAAAAAATAATCAGAAATGTTTTTGCTGTTGGCTGTCAAAAGAAGATCATTGGCATTAAACACAGGACTTTAATGCTTTTCATGTTTACATCTTTTCTAACTTTGTGATCTTTTGACCAAAGTGTGCTACACTCTTTCTAGGTTTAATCTATCTAACCAGAAAAACATTTAGAGCAGACTTGATTGAACCCACAGTTAAGATCTCTGAGTGGGTAACAGATGTTACAATCAAAGTCAATGACTAGTCCAGCTAATGATATAGTTATATCTTTTATAAAACCTGCCTAAATCTCTCTGTGTTGCTAGGAGAGGGAGAAAAATTATACACATGCAAAGGAAGAAAGGAGGTCAGACCGGATTAGTAGGTACAAATCAACACAAGACTTGGATGTTTGTATTTTACAAAGAGAGGCATAAATTAATCCTTAGTGCTATGAGTACTTACATCAGTACCCAGTTTCATCAGCAAATGGTGAAAGAAATCAGTAAGCTCCTTCTCTTCTATGTAACCGTTTTCTAAATGCAAAAAGATAAACATAAACAATAGTCACTTATACAGAATGACATGTGACTTTTATCTAAATTTGTTTTCAATCTTGAAATGTATAAAATCCCCATGGGTACCATTTTTGCTATTCCAATAACTAAGTACCAACACATAACTTGCAGAAAACATGGATTTGGACAGTGAAAATGTGTTGCAGAGTAATTGATTTATGCAAGGGGGTATGGTATAGTAACATTTGGGAAAAGGAAGCTACCACTAAATACATAGATTGTAATCAATGAATAAATATGAGCTTTAGAATGAAATCTAACCCAATGACTTTGGAAGGTTGGAAAAACCAAACAAAGGCAAATATCAAGTCTTAAGTTTGCAGATTTAAGCAGTTTTATGTTTCTTTAATTGCTAATAAAAACAAAGAATAGGTAAGTAGCTTTATTTTATTTTTAAGAAAGTTTCTCTTTTTATTTTTCTTTCTAGTGGGCAAATAATACATTTGAAAGCTGATAAAATTTCTACTGCCTTTGAGAGAGTATGTTAGGGGGTAAAACAAAACAAAGTGACTTCTAAAAATAAGCAAGCTCATTTAGGGAAGGCTGCTTTCAAAGGACTGAGACTCAGCGCACCATTCATGTGTGATACTTGTCATTACACACACACAACACACACACACACACACACACACACACACACACACACACACACACACACACACACACCCTGCGAAGGCAGCGAGTTTGCAGGAGGTTTCTGAGCGTCCCACACCAGCTCTCCACAGGTGTGTGGGGCAGTCTGTGCCAGGCATGGGCACGAACGACGCAGGCAGACAACTTTCCCTGCAGGAAAGGGGCGCGGGCAGGGGGCTCTGGGTGTACCCCGCAGGAGCAGCCCTCGCGACTCACCGTCCGCATCAAAGCGCTTCCAGACCTGCCAGAAGCCGGCGGCGTCCAGCTGCAGCCCCCGAGCCGGGCCGCGGGCGCTGTCCATGGTTCCGACGCGGAGCCAGGCGAGGCGCGAGGACCAGGGAAAGCGGAGCGACTGCGCCCTGCGGACTCCGGGCTCCTCCACCTGCTCAGCCGCCCTCTGATCAGGGACTGCTGGCGCCGCGGCGTCGCTGGGCTGCCCCCGCCCGCCTCGACGGGACCTCAGCTGACAGCGGCTGGACCGCCCCGCTGCCAGGGCCCCGCCCGCGCCGGCGCTTGCTCCGGACCGCTGCCCCTGCCCTGCGGGCTCCGCCAGCAAGGAGCTGCCCCGCGGCCACTACGCGCTGGCTGCGTTGACCTTCACCTTGTTTGTCAAAGTCGGAGAAAGCACCTACCTCACCCTGACTCACCTTTCAAACGAGTGTCCCAAGAGCTTTTCTGCGGCGTTGTCCCATTTAAAGAGCTGGAACAGGTGTCAGTGCCTGGCGCTTTCTCCCTGATGGTTGTACCCAGGAAGTGTGGTGGGAGGGAAAGGAACGTGGAACTGAGGCAATGGGAAGAAATGACATTTAAATCTGGCCTGGGGCCACGGCCAGGTAATCCCAGGACGCTGGAAGGCTGATGCAGGGGGATCACACGTTCGGTCCCAGTGTGGGAAACTTAGTAAGACACCCCCGTCTCAAAATAAAAAAGTTAAAAGGGCTGGGTTTGCAGTCTAGTGATGTAGTACAAGAAAGAGTGAGCGAGAGAACGAGAGAGAGAGAGAGAGAGAGAGAGAGAGAAATTACTGTGAAGTCAGTCGTCAGCGGTAATGAGTCGCGATTGTCCTAGTTGTGTAGGACAGTGTGGGGCCGTAATGCTCTATAAGGACCCACGACTGCACAGATACTGCCAGTCACAGTGGCGTAAAGTGCTTCTCTAGGGTGCTGGGGGCAAGACGAGAAAAACTGCCTGAAAAGAAGTTTGTCCAATAGATGCTTCAAAAGGTGAAGAGACTCATCAATAGAAAACACCAGCCCTCCTTCAAGGGGTGTTTCAGAAGAAAAATGCAAATGGCAACAAAAGCTGGAAATTTTTATGTATCATAACCAAATCTTCAATAGCATTTTCTTTGTTTTTCTTTCTTTGTTTTTGTTTTTGAGACAGGGTCTTGCTACACTGTTCAGGCTGGCTTTAAGCTCACTTTGTAGCCCAGGCTGATCTCAAACTTTCACTGATCCTCCTGCCTCAGCCTCCCAAGTGCTAGGATTACAGGAGTGTGCCAGCATGCCCAGCTTTCAATAGCATCTTTGTTAATCTCCACAAGGGTTCAGTTAACTTGCTGAGTATTGTGGAACTCTGTATTGCTCGGCAGTCCATAACCTGAAGTCAGTAAATGAACTAATCTATAAGTGTTAAGTATGGCAAAATCAGAAAGAACTATCAGCACAGATTGGATATCTCTTGGTAAATGTTTTATCAACTTCAAGGAGAACTGCACCATTTGAAAATACTTTGAAGAGTCAAATAAAGTGGTGCCTCAGTTCATGAACAATTTTGTTTGCAAACATACACTTGGCAAAAGTCCGTTTTTGTTTGAGAATTCTGCATCAGGTGACAAACATGACAGTAGTCATCCTGCACAAACACGAATTTGGCCATCTTTCTCAGAATTATGAGAAGAGTTAAGTTCATCAACCAACGTAGCACTGTACCTTCCTGTGGCTCTGCAAATGATCTTCCCCTCAAGCTGAAATGAAGAAGACCATTCATGTTGCAGAAGTTGGTCAAACTGGTAACAGGAAAGACCAGAACAAAAAGCTTATTAGAAGGATTACCTAAAATATCTACCACAGTATTTTTGTTAATAAACAACATCTGCTCCAATCAAGCAATCAATAATAAAACACATGCAAAGCCCTCTAAACCAGAGTAATAAGAAGAACATGGCACTCATGATCAGATGGCCTGGATCATGAATGTTCATCTCTAAGCCTCGGCTTTCTTATCTATAACAGGGGCATTAGAGCATCTATCTTGGAGAGGTCCTCTTAAGGCTTATATCCAGATGCCCTGTAAATCCTCAGGCACTCAGAGATGGTGCTTTTTGGAGCTGGCTGTATCGAAGGTGTGTGGTACTGGGATTAAAGTGTGTAGTACAAAATTATTCCACTGATTAGCATGGTTCTGGGTATGGAAAACTGGATGTTGTACACTGGATGCATATGGAACCACCAAAAATGCTGGTAGCATGGATGGTATAGAAGGGAAAGGGAGGCTTGCTTCACTGCTTGCAGCTTGCTGCCTTCTGCCTTCCACCTGCCCCACCATGAGCTGTTTCTCCTCTGGGATGTCCCTCTGCCATACTACCTTGCCTTGGAGCCAGCTGACTATGGGATGAAACTTCTACAAACTGTGAGCCATAACAAACAAATAAACCTTTCCTCCTTCAATTCTGGATGTTGAGTATTTTGTTTCAGCCATGAGAAAAGGAACCAAGCCAGGTACCATGAGGATCACAGCCACATTTTGTTATTATAGCTGTTATGGTGGGAGATGACTCTATTCTTTTTTTTAAATAAAATAAAACCAAATGAGAAAAAACAAAATGGGGTAAGTCAGAACAAAAGGATGGACATATTACATGACTTAAAACCAAAATGCAAGGTGATCTACAATGTTTACCATGGTATCTCTTGTTATCTTCAACAGAATTGCCCATATCATCAAGCACAATAAAATTGAACATAGCAGTACAGAACAAAATCAATAAAAAACAAAACATTGGAGACATTATAGGACTTCAAAAGAAGGTAATAGTCAAACCAGACATGAGTATCATAGTGAATCTATCTTCAGAGTAGTTGCCTATACTCTTAGACTTGATATTATCAAATATAACATTAATATAAAATCAGTCAAAGTAAGGCAGCAATCAAACAAAAAAATTCAAATAAAATTTCAAAATAAGACAGTGAAAGCAATGTAGGGCTTCAGGTTAAGTTAACAGGAAATTAAAAATGGTTACTGTAGTACATCCTGCTATCTTTGGAATAGCTGTCCATGCCATCAAATCTAGTACAAGTAGACAAACTGGAACAGAATATAACCAAATTAAACAGAGTGATGCAAACAATTTGGGTTTCAAATCATGATATAAGATTAATAATGTCCTCTGCCTTCCTTTTTTAGACAATCCCTCCCCTTTCACTTTCACAGGGTACATTGTACATTTTGTATCCCACTAACTTCTCTAGTTTTTTTTTTTTTTTTTTGTCTTTTTCCTTTTTATCGGTACCAGGGATCAAACTCATGACTGCCTGCTTGCAAAGCAGGCACTTATGCCACTGAGCTAAATCCCCAGCCCCCTAACTTCTCTAGTTTTTATAGAATTTTTTTTTGTCTTTTTCATTTTTATTGGTACCAGGGATCCAACTCGTGACCACCTGCTTGCAAGGCAGGTACTTATGCTGCTGAGCTAAATCCCCAGCCCCAACTTCTCTAGTTTTAAGATTAGGGAGGCAACCACTATTTACCAAAGTGATTCTGAGCCTTTTAACTCCTGAGCGTGATCTCAAGGTGTATCCATTAACCTACAAGAGTCTCAAGATTTTAGTTCCTTATAGCTGAGTAGTTCTCCATTGTATAAAAGTGTTATTTCTTTCCAACCAATTTGCAGCTGAAGGGAGAGCCATTCCTACTTTTTTCTGGTTCTCTGTCACATAGATATCTTTGACTTTCAGTCCATAAACCCTCTGTCAGGTTAGTTATATTTCTTATGTACAGCATCTTGATGGACCCTATCTCCTGATCCACTCTGCCTGTGTTTCTTTTTATTAGTATATTAAAGTCATCCACGTTAACAATTATGGCCCACCTTCTCTGCCTCATCTCTGCATGCTATTTTTCTGTCATTGTTTGTCTACTTTTCCTCTTCGTTTCAATGTCTGCTCCATTCAGTGAGCCCCCTCTGCCACTGTTACAGAAGTGATGGTCTTTTCTCTCTCTCTCTCTAGAATGTCCTTCTGTTTTTTCTGTAGGGTTGAATTGGTGATCATGAGCTCCCCAATTTCCTCTTTGTCATGGAAACATCTTGTTTCTCCATTAATTTTGAGAGATAGTTTTTCAGGGTACATCAATCTGGGTTGGAGGCTGTTTTCTTTCAGGGCTTGGGATACTTCACTCCAAGCTCTTCTTGATTTGATGGTTTGTGTTGAGAAGTCTGTTGTGATTCTAATGAGCTTTCCTTTATAGATGATCTGTTTCTTTTCTCTGACAGTTTTTAATATTCTGGTCTTGTGTTGAATTTCTGGGATCTTGACTATTATATGTCTGGATGTAGATCTATTTTGGTTATAGCTAGCTGGAGTTCTGTATGCCTCATATATCTGAATACCATTTCCTTTTCCTATGCTTGGGAAGTTTTCTTTAATTATTTCTGTAAATAGCCTTTGTGTTTCATTTGTGTTTACCTCTGCTTCTTCACTCACATTTTTTATTCTTAAGTTATAGATCCTCTTGTCATCTTCTAGCGCTTATATCATTACTTCCTGGTTCCTTGTTATTTTTAAGAGATCTTTCCTTTCACGATCACAATTTGCAAACCTGTCTTCAAGGTTTGATAGTATAGTCTATTTTTAGTTTCTTTCAAGCAGTTTTTCCAGCTGTCAATGGAGTTTTTAATTTCCTGGTAATCTCTTTGAATCTGTTTCATGTATTCTAGATTTTTTATATTTTTCATTGAAGGTTTCCCACCTTTTTCTATGTTCCTCCATTCTTTCATCTGTGTCTTGTTGAAAGGTGCTTAGCATTTCATTATTTTTCTTATATCTTCCTTTACCTGTATTTTCTATTTCTGTTTAAGTTCTTTTATAATTTCATGAAAATATTTCTTTATATTAGACGCTGTTTCTTCAGAAACTGCAGGTATGCAACCCCCAATCTCTTCTGTATTTACCTCTCCTGGGTCAGTACTGCTTGGGTTGGAGGCTGGAGACCTTCTTTTGTTTCTTCCTCTTATCATGTTTCTGGTTTCTTCCAGACAAGTGGGTCCCAGCACTTTCTGTATTGGTTATAATTTCTCTGAAGCATGCTGGCAAGGGTTTGCTGCCCTCCCCAGTCTGCTGGTGACCACTGGAGTACAAGAGGGGGGGATCAGGCTGGCCCCTCCCTTTTGAGCTGGTCAGCCACTGGGAGTCTTCACCATGTTAGTGTGTGCTGTGCTGTTGGGGCTGGTTAGGGATAGCTTCAGAGAAACCTCGGTCTTGGCTATTGGATTGCACACAGGGGTGGGAGTCAGTCCAAGCAATTCTCACCAGTCTGCTC